CTACTTTAATTTTAATTAATAAAAACATTAGGCCTCAGCTGGCCAAAGTGGTCAGGATGGGATATGCTGCTTCAGGAGGTCAATCAGATATGCTAAATGCTAAACTATTTGGAGCTTTAAATGTCATGAACAGGAATTTGAAGTCAATGCTGAACTCAAACTACACTGCTACCAGTGTAGTTTGCGAATGACTGCTCTAAAATTTATTTCCTGCTCAGCTTGTAGATTATTGCCTTCTGAATTAGCTGAATCTTACTTAGAGCAAGGTTATTAAGCATAAAGAAATTTCATGTATGGCTAGCATGTGTTTAATTTTGTATATGCTTTTAATGTTATTATTCAAGGTTATATTGACACCTTTAAATGTAGCTTTTGGTGGTATTGTAGGCATCAAATTCTAGGGGTTTAAATCCACAACCTTATTTTGAAAAGACAGTACCCAAAATCAGTGCTATTATCAATTTCTATTAATCCAAGCTTATGTCTTCAGCGCACTCTTCCATTTTGCCACTAAATCTGGCAGATTTTTTTCATAAATATGATTGGATTTTATAAGTGTAAAGGTGAAAGCCAACCATGTGTTTGCCAATTGTATGTCCAAGAAGCTGGATTTAAAGGAAGAACAATAAGGAGTCTAGAACAGAACCTTGTGGGACAATATACTGCACCTTTTTAGGCTCAGAAGAACCTCCATTAACACAAACAAAAAAAACCCTGGTAAGTGTCCATCATGTAAGATCTAAAACACACCCCATCGACCTTGTCTTTAATTCTTGCTTTTATGTCAGTTAAACATAATGGTATATAGTGTTAAACCCATCAAAATATTCCTAGATTATGACATTTGCATTTATGGCAGATCGCATTTTGCAGATGCCCTTATCCAGATTGACTTACAAAAACAAAAGACTTCAGGGCAGACAAGGTCAAGAGTACCATCAGTCTCCAAAAGTCTCCTGAAGCCTTATGAAGGCTCCTGACTACTATATCTTCTCATCAGAAGATGTAATAGAGTTTAACCTGTCTGGTTTCTTTCTTTTTTTTTTTTTACTTATATGTATACACTGTATATACCAATCACTAAAAGTCTGGAGGAATTTTAGAATCATAAAAGGCTTGATCATTTGTTAATTTACATACTCTGTTAAATTTAAATTGTTCCTATTGCTTTCTATCAAGTTTAAAAAATAAGGTGTTCTGGCTGAAAGAAAGATGGCATTTAATGGGAGATTTTTCTCTATGATATTCAGAATATCAGTTAATTTGGACCTCCATGTCAGTGGCTATTCACTTCTGTTTTCAATAATGATGCAAATTTAAATTTTTTAACAGAACAATACATCTTTATAAAAAAAAGTTTTACAATTAATAATAAAAGCAAGTAAATAACTACAATTGAAGAGATGCAATTCTGGCAAGGCAAACCTGTGATACAAAGCCAAACACAGCATAATATGAACATAATGTTTACATATAACATATTGTATACACCGTACTGTTTGTGTCTGACATTCTACATTAAATTTATTCAAACAATTTTTCCCTTATGTTTTTAAATAATACAGCACTCAGTAATTTTGAGCATGATACAGCTGATTAATTAGATTATTCTTCCACAATATGCAATGATCTCAAATTCTTTTCTTTTTCAGCTGACCAAACTCAAATTTAAAAATTGGGTAACACTGTTAAACCTGACCATTTAAATCTCCTTTATTTGAATCTCCTTTATCATAGCATTTAACCCAACGTTCGATGCCCTTATTGTTGTTAAAAGCTCTTATTTCAGTATTTGTGTTTTCAGGAAACTCTTGAGAGAGCAGTGTGCAAGTTTTCTGAGGTGCTGAAACCACAATATCTTGCAGCAATAACACATCACAGTTGAGTCAGTGTTTCCCATTCTTGTCTCAAACCTATTCTTTTTAAACCACCAAACCCCACCAGGTAGTCATGGAAACCAAGTCAGTAACATATTCATTCAGTTACCACTCAGAAACAAATTTTTTTTAAATATATATATGATGTAAAAATTTCTGTTGGGGAAATTATTCGTGTTTTTTTTATAGTATTCTCACATTAACAGCACCTTACTTTGAAATAAGCCTGCTCAACCCATGCTTCACAGAAGTTCATTTATTTCTCCTCCACTTGTTATCCAAGTCAAACAACAGTAATAGAAAACATAAAAAACAATAATTCTTACAAAAATCAGTTTGTTAACAATGGGGTTAGACAGTATACTTCTCTTCTCCTTGCCTTTGAGATTTATGATAATGTGTATAATTTTTGTAGAGCTCACTGAATACTTCCTTAACACCCATTTGCAATGTCCTGTTCAAGAACTTTATATCCTGTTCGACACACTGGTCCAGGATGCAGTAGATGCCTTCTGTCAGGTGTGCCTTGATTTCTGGTCGAAGTGTCACCTTCACAATTAAACAAAGAAGCATGGCCTTCATTACTGATGCAGTAAGCTATTGTACACAGAGAAGCATTAAGCAGAACTCTAATGATGTACATGATCAAATTAATACATTTCTTAATAGTGAATAATTCTGCTATATTCTTTATTTGTCATCAATGTAATGCCAAGTCAGGCAAATGTTTTACACACTGGATATTTTAGAACAACATGTAAGACAGGGTTTTCCACCACCAGCATCAAAACACCATCTAACGGAATATGATTTGGCAGAATTGTTCATCCATCCAGTACCGTTCCGAGGACATGCAGAACCTATGTCAAGGCTCACTGAAGCTGTTCTAGTGGCTCATTGTGGCTCAACACTTTACACAGCCTACAATCACACTAGAGAGCAACAAGTCACCTGTGTCTCTTGTAGGTTGTCTCTTGTGGGCATGTAGAGACTGCTACTGTTGTCGCTTGTGTATGTGGACTGTTCAGCATTTTTTTCAGTTCTGATGAAAAATGGTAGTTGCTATAATCTATAGCCTACACCTGACTTTACAATTTATACACACCACTTTTGTTTATTTTGTTTATTTACTACCTTCGTTAGAAGATCAGCAAAGCATGCTATCACTTACCAGACGCACCAACGATCTCTACAATTTCCGTCCAAGTATATTTTAATTTGTATTGTCTCTATGCACATTTAATGAGAGGTTGTAAATGTCAGGATAAGATAAAATCATGTTTTATCTTCCCTTTTTGAGCATCAAATTGTAAATGGGATCTTAATAGCGGATAGAAACTAAAGTTGTGGCCACATGTGCTGTAGGATTGGTCTGAGAAATCATTGTAGCTGTTTGGAATTTGTTTGGATTTGACACTGTGGCAGCAGGGGCATGATCAAGCGATAGTTTGTAAATGGAGGGCAGAGTCGAGGAGAATGCATGGTAATAAAGTAGCATACACCTGTGTGTGATTAAAGGTGCTGATTTTTGTGTGTGTGTGTCTGTGTGTGTGTGTGTGTCTGTTTCAGGAGCTGCTGAAAAAGCCAAACAAGGGATCCAGTGCGAGCTGATAAAACCCATGATTTGACAGCATACTGATGAGCTTGTGTGTGTGTGTGTCAAAGTGACAACTTTGATTCTGAAAAGCATAGCCCAAAGAAAAATAAACGGACTTGTGCTCTCTCTTATGCCTGCCTCTAGGCTCCTCATTCTCCTCACGACAGCCAGGGAGTCACAGGCGCTTTACCATGCAATACCTAGTTTGCATAGAATTGAGAATATATCAGTTCTCAGCTCCATGTTGCACAGGTACACAGAAACTGAATGGTCCCCTGCTGCTTTGTTGCTTGCTAGTGAGAACATAAGGTAAGACACTTTATGTTGCTTCCTTGTTACCTGTCATATCTCACAGACCATTGAAAATTCTCTAAAATTGTTTTTTTTTTATTATTATTTCATCAATCCCAAATTGTTTTAATTTTCACCAAAACTGTTTTTTCTTGCTACCATAAGTGGAATGACTGGTTCCACTAAACTCCTGCTGCAGGAAAACTAAACATTATTTGACTAAATATTATGCCAGGAAGCCTTTACATAAATTTTAAATAAATATTTGGATAGTACACTGAACTGTAAATAGAGAATTTTTTGTGCTACACCACCATACACTACTTGTACTGATACACAGAATTAATTAAGAATAATACGTGCTGAGACAGCACTTAAATATTCTTCATTAATTTAATATAATTCTGAGACAGAACTGTTTAATGTCTAGGAGCTAAAGATTTTACCTTCTGAAGTTCAGTGACATACTGAGCCACAATGAAAGAGTTCAGGACAGTGAAACCCTCTGCTGTGGTGCCAATATGGGTGTACATCCGCTCCACTAGCATGGCACACTTTAAGAGCTTCTCAGAATCATTTCCTAAACAAAGATGTATTATGATTAATCCTAAGTAACATGAAGAAGTCTCTGAGAAAGATTATAATTTGATTGCATTTTATAGCTAAAACCAACAAATAACACACAGAGGTTTGATCAATCTGAACATATCTTTAAAAATAGACCAAGTATATCTAAAGCAATATTATAACTCATTTTAAAGCATTATCATACATATTACACAGCAGTATAGAGCAGATTGCTTCTATTCACTTCTATTCTTTATAATTCAGTCTAAAAATTAATGAGCATCTATTACTAGAAACTGTAATGCAAATTTACTTCCTGATGCAGATGAATACTGCTTCATTTTAAAATATGTTTTGACTTCGTTAGCCAGTCATACTTATGTACACGTACTACATCGTACTACAAAATCATTAAAAAGAATAGGCTTGCATAAAATACAAATATCCATATACTTGAGGTTAATACATGTTGTCGTTCCTCTCTCGGCTGCTCCCGTTAGGGGTCGCCACAGCGGATCATTGGTCATTGATCATTGATCATTGCATATTTGATTTGGCAGTTTTTACGCCGGATGCCCTTCCTGATGCAACCCTCCCCGATTTTTATCCTGGCTTGGGCCCAGCACTGGGAGTGCACTGTTGTGTGCAACCCCAGTGGCTGGGGTCGGTTCCCTGGCTGGGAATCGAACCCTAGCCGCAGCGGTGAGAGCGCCGAGGCTTAACCACTAGTCCTCCAGGGACCCACTTGAGGTTAATACTACATGTAATTGTAAATAATACATAAAACTACACAGGGTACAATGTAATATCGTGATTATTATTTCATCACGATTCATACTGGGAATTTTATATAAACTATGTCTAAACCTTTGGTTCTCACATTTTTTTGAAAATACCACATTGACAACATGTTGAGTTTCAGCAGTTAGTAAAGTGCTATAAATAAAGGGCTGACTTGGCCCACCTTTCTCATTCTCCCCTTTTTGCCTGCCCTCACGTATGATGGATGCCACCAGACGATAAAAACAGTTCAGGAAGACTGGAGAAGCTTTCAGCATCACCTATGCCCATTGAGAGACAGAGTTAAAAAAAAAAAATAAAAAAAATCACATACTGGAGACAATTGGCTGAAAACATTTTTCACAGGAATGCAGCTAAATTCACTAATACACTGAAATCTTGAAATGTTCACTGTTCACACAATGAATTTATTTTTAATATCTTCTTAATTCAGTTGTATAGATAAATTTTTAAGAGAGACAATATCCAAATGAAGAATTCAACCAATCTATCCAAAAAGTTCATAAGTACAGTTCAAATTCTTCATTAGGGTGAATGATTATTCAAGTTCTCTGTTGGTCTGTGGGTTTAGAAAGCTAGCTGGTTCTTTTTAACAAATGCAGTATTTGAAATAAATTGTAATGGATTTTTTTGGGTGAGTGGAAAACTGAAACATAAGCATTTTTAGCACATTACACTGAAGATTTTTTCTGTTTTGTATGAATTTGAAGTAGTCTTTTTTCCCCTCACATGTCAAGAAACGGTGCGCTGAAGACAGTTTTACCGAAAAAAAGGAAAAGAAAAATCAAACCAACATCAAACCTAAAAGAAAGGGCTCTAATAAAATCCTTTTAAATATTACTTTTTGTATCTTTTTCCATTCACAGGAGGTTTAAAAAAGTCCCATCACTGTCTGCTGATTCAAGATGCACTGTTAGTGTACACAAATGCTTTTAATTTTGTTACACATGAAACATACAGCTCAAACGTTAACCAGCCCAGATCATTTTTTTTCTTCCTAATCTCGTTTCTGGTTGTGAAACCACCAATTATTAACACAGTTAAATTTAAAGTGAGGTACTCAGGCACAGACTACAGGTACCCTGCCAAGAGAAGGTCACTTACCTTAGGGTAGCACAGGATGATGGCATACAAGGCTTCATGGATGGCATGGAAGGCTGAATAGTAATCCTCCATGCACTGGTTTTCCAGAGGCACAAACTCAAGAGCTCCCAGCACCAGGATAACATGGTGTGGGTCAGAGATGTGAGTTTCTCCTTGACGGAGCAGAGTAATTAGAGTCTCTACCACTGGCACAGTTAGTATACTAGTTAGAGAAGACACTTGACCAGATGCTCTTACCACGAACTGAAACAAAAAAGAAAATTAAAGTAGGCACAGTTAATACAATCTTAAAGTTAACATCCTTACATTTACTTGATGTGTACAACATTTGCACTATTAGGAATTCAAAACACACCTGGCAAATATCAAATGTGTGACCCAGGACACTTTGAAAAAGATTCCAAGAAGTTTTACATTTCATTACACATATGTACTACATATTAATTAAATGGTACAATTTAAAGGCAAAGAGATTTTCTTTAACCACAGCAAATGCCCCTGCAACATATGGATTTTTTTTTTTTTTTTTAGCTTGGGGATGCCTATACCCAACAAAGTCTTCAGGTATAGTACAGGTTTATTCATTCTAAGCCAAAAAGACGATAAAATCACAATTTAAGTAACAGTTCATTCTAAAAGTAATCCTTCTGTTAATGAGTGCGGTGTTAACCTGTTTAGTCATATTTTATTCTTTTGACAGATATGTCCCTTTATTCACAATGAATCATGTTTGTCTTTTGTCTATTTAAATTACATTTAAATAAATACATGCTTCAAACTGCAAATCAACACAACATTTATCAAAACAAAACTATCCACACAATAAAAATCCACTCAATAAAATACAAATTCCTTTAATTATTTTTGGTTTTCATACAGCCAGTGCAGCCTTAATTCAGAATCAAATTTTTATGAATTTAAACAGCAAATATATATCAGGAATACTGTTATCAATACGTTAGTTTAGCTAAGCCAACATCTTCCCCTTGTGAAATTTTCAATAGTCACAATAAAATGAAAACAAAATCTTTTGTATGACAGACCTAATCAGATGACTTTATGTCACATTAATTTAGGCCCAATGGCAGTACCTCAAATAGATTGCTACAAATCAGTGAGTTCATATTCTGAATAATTTTATGACTGGTTCATTAAACCTACATTTGCAGCATGTTTAATTAAATGTTACTATATTAAGACCTTTTTGATGTCAGCAGAAAATTAAACAAATGTGATTAACAAATTGAGTGAGTACATTTAAACCAAGGCTCCAATGAAATACTCACAACAAGAGAAGACATGATCTGAGGAACAGTACGCCAGAACATCTCTGAGGAGGCCTCTGACAGTGAACAGCTGGCAAGCAGCTTTATTAGAGTCACAGCTGCAAACACATCCTGTCAAAGTTGATACATATTGCACATATTTTCATTTAGCAGGAATGGATATATATATATATATATATATATATATAGTAAAATGGCGTGTGTTGTTGGGCTTAATTTGGATCAATATCATGTTCTGAAATACCAACTCACTTTGTGGTAGCCTACTTCAATCTGCGATGCAACAAGTCCACCCCGGATCATGAGAAATAGTGACTGGAGTTGCTCTTCTGAAGAGTTGACCATCAGCTGAGTAAGCAGGATCTTAAGTGGGACCTCCAGTTCTTTTACTTCTGATACAGAAAGCCATGCACCTATGGGACATGAATTTTAGGTAAAGTGTTCAAAGATAAAGGCTTAACTTTGGAACAAGATCATTTCAATTGGATACTTACTTGATAATAGCTTATAAACACTCTGCAGAATCTTAAAATGGAGACTGTCAAGATTGGATTCCTGAGTTTTTTCTGCAGCCATGTAAAATGCTGATAGATAATGGAGAGATGATATGAGAAACTCCATGGGTTGTGGTGCTGGGTATATTTCCTCCAAAATCTGCTGGCCAAAGGTATTGTACAGTGCCATGTTGGATAACTTGTGGTGTTGATCACCATCACCAATATCCTGGGTCTGATGAGAGACAATTGCTAGCTCACTCTTGATCATCACAGTCACCACATCAATAGAGAATGACGGTCTGAGCCCACTGTCTGCCCTTCCCATTAGCGTAGTCTGAGTGGCAGGCCCCATTATGGAGATGATCTTCCCCAACAACTGAGTCAGAGCCTCATCCAGCTGAGGACTTTTTCCAAGCACAGACATCATTTCATTACAAAGTGTGCTCAAGGTGGCTAAGTGAAGCTGAAATGAGTACAGAGCTTCATCACAATCTCCAGAATCCACAGATGATGTTCCAACAGCACAAGCTCTATCAATCATAAAACTGGTGAACTTGTCCAGATTGATTCGCATACTGCTTTTTCGCTCAAGTATAACATGTGTTATACTGTGAATGAAAGCTTGGACTGACTGGAGAAAAGAAAACCAAGCCGATCTGTCCACACTTTGAAATAGAGCCTTATCAAAGCGAGAGAAAAGAGAGGTCATAGCTGCCTCCAAGAGCGTACTACCATGTACAACTTTGAGGATTGTATGAGAATTTTTCCCCACCAAGAGTGAATCCATGAGGCCAAAAAGCTCTTCCAAAAGGATGACTGGTACTGAAAGTGCCCCATTTTCATTACGCTGCACGCAAAGCGTCATGAAGAACAAACCCAGAAAAAGTCCTAAGTAATCTTCAGGAGATATTGCATATGGATTTAGGACACTTGTTATCCTGACTAACTGCAGAAGAGTGTCTACTTGTGTTTCAGATATGGGGATAGAAGCACCAGATGTAGCACAGTCCATAATTTCTTGTGCTATGGCTTTCAGTCTGTTAAAAGAGGATGAGATCTCAGCAATGCGTCCTTCTTTGCCTTCAGATGCAACACCAATTTCGGTGCAGGATTTAAAAAATGAGGGACAAAAGGAGTGTACATCAGAAGCACTTGGCAGTTCAAAAAACTTGTCTGTCATAGAAGTTACCACTGCTGAGTGCAAGTTGGGCAACTCACAAAGAACTGTGCTTTCAAGCAATTGTTTTGAAATCAGTAGGAACGAAAGATCAGTCTTCTCCATATTGCTTCCTGAGTGACCCTGAAGCAGGGAGTTCAGGATGGTGTCTGCTATGCGAGATATAACCTCCTGTGGGAGGTATGGAGCAATTAATGGCAGGTTGGTGGTTACGAGAAACCAGAAGGCCACTGGATAGGTGTCACTATTAACACTGCAAAACTGATGGTCCCACGTTTGGTTGGTGTACAGGTTTACCGAAAGTTCTTGACTATTTACCACAACTTGAGCAGTTTCATGAAGAACATCTTGTGTGTCCATGTCGAGAGTAAGTGAAGGTGAGATGAGTGAGTGTCTCTTCATTCTGTGGAGAGCAAGAAGCTTTTGAAGAAACCTGCTCAGTGGACTAGTGACTTGGCCTCCTGAATTCGTAAGTGCCCAAACTTTCTGTACTGTATCAGAGATAGGACTGACATCACTAGTTGGACCAGCTGGGGAAGTGTATTTACTGCAATGAATTTGAAAGAGGGTGTCTGCCTCATGCCAAGTGTGAGTAAGGAGAAGACTTGCTTCTTGAATCTTCTCTACCCAGAGGCTGTCTGTAATCAAAACTCCCTCAAGACGCTGCAGCAGAGCCCTAACAAACTTAAGCATCTCCTCCATTAGACTTTGAGTTTGTCTGACTATGGGCAAAGGAGTGCTGTCATCTAGAGTCTTAAGACTAAAAACCACTGCATGCATGAGAACACTCAGAGAAAACATCTTTAGTGCAGACTCCCTTCTTCCCTCTTGGACATAAGGGAGATCGTTTTGCATCTTCTCCAGAATAAGTCTGC